AAAGATTTCTGGAGCAGATTGTTACACTAATCACAGGGGTTCAGAAATGCTCTGCCATGAGGGCTTATAGCAGAGGGCCTTTGAGTGCAAAGCTTTGTGCCCTGGCTCAGAGAGAAAGATGTTTTGACTGACAAAGCAATGGGCTTAAACTGCAGCAAGGGAGGTTTAGGTTGGACATTAGGAAAAAGTTCCTAACTGTCAGGGGGTACTTCCACGAGGAGTAAGCTAGTTTGGATTAGGAAGCCTAATCCGAACTAGCTACTCCGTGCCGCGTGTAGCCGCGCAGCACGGGGTTCGAACTGCCGGCATTTAAAAATGGCGCCGGCCGGCTTTATGCAAATGAAGCCCGGGAAATTCAAATCCCGGGCTTCATTTGCAATTGCGGTATGACTACATTACCCTCCTATTTCGAATTAGGAGGGTAGTGTAGACATACCCATAGAGAGTCAGTAGCCTGGGTTTGAAGGGGGCTTCCCAGGAATGACACTGGCCCACACTGGCTGCTGGCCCCACCTCTGGAGACTATCAAATAGTTGTGCAACTGCTCAAATTTGATGCGGTTACACAATTATTCAATTGCACAGTAACATCTCTATATCCAACCCCCAACTTGTCCAGGTGAATCCCTGTTTTCTAGTGTAAGCATGTGATGGGCAATGCATATTAATAGGTTAACATGAATTCTGTCCCTGGACAGCTATGTAAGAAGATGCTGAGACTGTCACTCCACAGCCTAAAATATCTGCGTTTGTGAAGCAAAATACAGAACTATGTAGCACTTTAAAGACTAACAAGATGGTTTATTAGGTGATGAGCTTTCATGGGCCAGACCCACTTCCTCAGATCACTGGAGTCTTTGTTAAGACCCCCGCATAAAGTGTCGAATTTTAGCATGAATAACAGTTATCTTACCCATTACAAAGATAGCTTCCCCAATTATCACCTCTAATATCATTAGCTCACAGACATTTACCTCGCCCCCGCCCCCCCCGCACCCCCCTTCTGTTCTGAAATCTGATTTGTCCTTTTCATGTGTGTTCTTTTTTTTTTTAATTGTATCCTTTGGTATATATGGTTGTGACTATTTTCTTCCACTATTTGATCTGAGGGAAGTGGGTCTGGTCCACGAAAGCTCATCATCTAATAAACCATCTTCTTAGTCTTTAAAGTGCTATATAGTATTTTGCTTCAGCTACACCAGACTAACACGGTTACATTTCTATCACTATTCTGCGTTAGTGAAGTGATGGAAGCAGCTACACGCATGGCTGAGAGCTCTTCTTGTTCAGAATATCACCAGGCTGAATCATTACTGGATTTTGCGATCTGTTATTGTCTAAATATTAAGTCTGATTTTTTGAATTTATGAACTGTACAGCTACAGAGGCAGGTATTGGTGCCATGCCAAGAGTCCTAGATCATTGTGATACCAGTGGGAACTCAACCAATAACCTTACTCTTGCAGCTTAATTGCATGCAATCATTTCATTCGTTGAGGGAGCTTGCATACCTGGCCCGATTGCCACACCTTGCTCTCAATTGTCATCCATACAAATGAATAAAAAAATCACGCAGCACAGCCCCATAGACACAAATCAGCACAAATGCCCACACAGCACCACAACCAGCATACGCAATAACTGCAGACATAGAATACTAGAACTGGAAGGGACCTCAATAGGTCATCAAGTCCAGTCCCCTGCCTTCATGGCAGGACCAAGCATCATCATTCTAGACCAGTGGTCTTCAACCTTTTTATATCCAACATCACTTTTTAAATGTCAGAACAAGCCAAGATCTACTCCATCCCTTCCCCAAGATCCCACCCCTTCCTTGAGGCCCCGCCCTCTCTGTTCCCCTTTTCTCCATCACTTGCTGTCCCCAGCCCTTATACACTCTCACTGGGTTGAGACAGGAGGTACGGGCTCTGGAGTGGGAATGAGAGATTTGGGTGTGGGAAGGGGTGAGAGGTGCAAGGTCTGGGAGGGAATTTGGATGCAGGAGGAGGTGGAGAAGGGGATGCTGGCTTGGGGAGGGGGCTCCAGGCTGGGGAGTGTTGGGTTCAGGTGGAGGGCTGGGGTGCTGAGTAAGCCACTGAGGGTGCAGGAGTTTGGGTTGAGTGTGAGGGGCTCAGGGCAGGGAGGTTAGGAGTATGATGGGCTCAGGACACAGATTTGCGGTGTGTGGATGGTGCATGAGTGTTAGGATGCTGCGGCCAGATGGAGGTTTGGCCAGGCTTCTTTTTTGGGACCACACAAGTGAGACGAAAAAAAAAAAAACCTCCAAAATCCCCAAGCCTCACTAATGTGGCCCCAGCTGTGCTGGTGGGGGCAGGGGACAGGATGCTGGGGCAGGGTGCTGGTGGATGCAGGGGGAGCCCTGCTCCTCCACTTCTCACGGCAACTGTGTGCTTCCTGAGCAGTTGGAGCTGGCGCAGTCCCAGGACTCCTATCCCCCCCATGCAGGAAGGCAGCAGGGGAAGGAGGTCGCCGGCGCGGCGCATTACAGACTCGGCATTTCAGGAAACGCGCTGGCTGTTTGGGGGAGGGAGGAGCAGCCTGCGCACTTCCTGAAACCCTGGATGTGGCACGCAGCTGTGGGACTTCCCCCGACCCCACAGGAAGCTGGCACTACCTTCATGCTGGAGGTAGTGTCAGTGGGGGCTTCTTGGGGGGTGGGAGGAAATGGGGGGGCCCGAATGCCTCGCAGTCGACTGGTGGAGCCTCCCCTATTGACCCATTGATCGCGATTGACGGGTTAGTGACCACTGGTCTAAACCATCCCTGACATGGTGCTGGTGCTCTTAAATATCTCCATTGATGGCGATTCCACAACCTCCATAGGCAATTGATTCCATTGCTTAACCATCCTGACAGGAAGTTTTTCTTAAGGTGTTTGTACACAGCAGCATTATTTTGGAACAATGGCCGTTATTCTGAACTAACAATGCAAGCATCTACACAGCAATTCCATTATTTCAAAATAAATTCGAAATAACGGATGGCTTATTCTGACTTCTCTAAACCTCATTCCACGAGGAATAATGCAAATTCCGAAATAGCTATTGCAGAATAGCAGTAGTGTGGATGTTCTACTGTTGCTATTTCGAAATAGCTTCTCCCCAGGGCTATTCAAACTAATTACTCCCCTGGGGCTCTAAATTGAGCTAGCGCGTCCACATGAGGGAAGTCTGCCTCGGACTAATTTTGAGGCTTCCCTGTAGTGTAGACATGCTATTTTGAAATAAGCTGTTTTGGAGTATTTCTTCCAGAATAGCTTATTTTTAAATACACGTGGAATGTAGACGTACCCTTAATGTCCAACATAAACTTCCCTTGTTGCAGTTTAAGATCATTGCTTCTTGTCCTATTATTAGAGATTAGTGAGACCAATTTTTCTTCCTCCTCCTTTTAACAATCTTTTAAGTACTTGAAAGCTGTTGTCATGTCCCCTGTCAGTTTTTTTTCCTGACTAAACAAACGCAGTTCTTTCAATCTTCCATCATAGGTCATGTTTTCTAGACCTTTACTAATTTTTGTTATTCTTCTCTGGACCTTCTAGTTTGCCCATATCCTTTTTGAAATATGGTACGCAGAAGTGGATGCAATACTCCAGTCGAGGCCTAATCAGATCAGCCTTCATTTGCCACCCACACCACTGTTCCAGCACAGCCTCCCAGAAGACACAAACTAACACAACTCCCATATATGGCAACCCTGAACGCACAAACAGCTTGTCACTATAGCACGTACCTCTTATTCCCCATCCACACAACACTCCTACTACAACATACGCATTCACCCACCCTCGCTCATATTTACCATAAAACTATAAACTTGGTGGCAAAGCCATGGGTCTATTGCTACACCTTTATATGTTCTAAAACACTGTTTCATCAGAATAATTAATTTAGCCCTTGTAATTCTCTAGTTAGAGGAGAGATGCTCATAGATGCTATAGTTCTGTGTGCTGATATTCACTGGATGATACCATCTCTTGCAACTTTAGATAGCTGATTGGACGTTTAGCTATTTTAATTATTTCCAATCACACTAATGCTTTGTTTTTTTCCCCTTTTTAACTAGAACGATCAGTCAACTGGAGATATAAAAGTAATTGGTGGGGATGACCTCTCAACCTTGAGTGGAAAGGTATGTCTTTTAGTGTGAAACAAAAGAAATAAAGGACATATTTTTAAGTGTTTTAAGTTTCTCTGCATCATTTTTCTAACTATGAATTTTGCAACATAGCTTTTTTAAAAAATCTCCTTTATGTGCATATAGTACTATTATAATGGCCTAACTTAAGATAATGGCATTCTAAAGGCTACCATTATATAATTGCTTTGTATTATGACTTTTTGCAAGAGCAGTTCTGTGTTGTCTGGTTTTGGCAGAGATTATTGACCACCAGCTTTCCAGGGCCGAAAATTACATCAACACAAACTCTGATACAGTAGTATCCTCTTTATGGTATACTGCATAGTGGCTATAGGGCATTTGTGTATGTGGTCAGTAATGATGCTGTACATTACCTGTTGTGAGGCTGTTACCATGACAGTATGCAATATGAAATCACAAGGCATTAGCATTCTTATCATCACAGTAGTTCCATAGCTTTGCATGTACAGGCAGTCCCCGGGTCACGTACAAGATAGGGACTGTAGGTTTGTTCTTAAGTTGAATCTGTATGTAAGTCAGAACTGGCATCAGCCGCTGCTGAAACTGATCAGTTTCAACAGCCGCTGAATCTGGACACCAGTACCACTTACATACAGATTCAAGGTAAGAACACCAGGCGTCCCCAAGTCAGCTGCTGCTGAAACTGATCAGCAGCTGATTCCAGGAAGCCCAGGGCAGAGCAACTCTGCCTCGGGCTTCCTGTAGTCAGCAACTGGTCAGTTTCAGCAGTGGCAGACTTTGGGACGCCTGGGGCAGAGCAGCTCGGGGGCTGCTGGCTTTGGCCAGTAGCGGGGGCTG